CATTCCTATGCATATATTTTAGCATGGCACATAAGATTTCATTGATCTTCGTAGCTGGGTCCTTACTTAGCATACGATATGTGGTCCTATATCGTAGAATTTGTTCCATCTTCTCGATATATTGTTTTTTGTCCATTATCACTGTAGCTCCTCCTGTGTCCGCCTAAAAGACTAATTGTTCATTCTTTTCCAATGTTTTACGCATCACGGCAAATCTGTTCCTTTGTGTAGGCTCCTGATGTGTCAAGATCTTTGCAATTAGTTCCATCTCCATTTTCCGTTTTGTCTCATCAGGGTACTTTGACCAGGATGTCTCCTAGAGGGCCCCTGTGATGTTGAATTGAAAAATTGATTTCTTTTCCCGGGAATGCAGTTGTTTCTAGATTGAGAAGAATTGATGGTAAGTTTAATACTTTCTTCCTATCGCCCTGTTGATCAGTAGGTGTTGTCACCCTGGAAGCCCCTTCAACTGGGCGTATTGACTTTAACTTAGGCTGTCTAAAAATCCCAAACTTACGCAATTTATCTTAATGCTGTTTTGTTATTAAGTCAGAAATCCTACGTGATTTCCTGTCTGTCATGCTCTGGTGTTTTTGAAAATCTTCAGGAGAGAAGATCCTGGTCAAATCACGCCAGAGCTTTGACTTAATATTAATAAACTTAAACAATTGTTTGCGTTCTGTATCATAGGTCTCACTTAGTTTCAGAATAGAAGCCTGGTTGAGATACTCATTTACCTTATCCGAATGGTAGGGTCTTTTAAGGTCACAGAACTTAGAAGTGATATTATAACGTTAACGACAGTTTAAAAAAGTCAGATGGTAAGATTGACCTACACTTATCTTCTTTGTCCGGCTGTATTCAGTGCATTGTTTGGCAATTTCACTACCGTAGTTTAATCGAAGATATGAGGACCAAGATGTTGTGGCATCTGGTATATGCAAGCAAAAAGGAGACGTCTGGATCAAGGATCTATCGCTAACCGCAGGAAAAGGGATCTCGATGAAGAAAGTGGGGGTCAGTTTTTTTCGTAAATTAAGCAAAGACTTCGTCAGTGAGTGGTGTCCGTTTCGAATAATCCAGTACAACTTTGGGGGCAGGACAGTCAGAGAGCTGGGCGGAAGGATAAGCAAACCGTCACAGAAAATCAGCGTTATGGCCAAAATGTACTAGAAATCCACTTAAGATGTCGCATGCATCCACAGTATGCTCAGGTAAAATTGGTTTAATCACGGAGACGACCCGTGAAGGCAATGCTTGAGATCTGCAAGCATGGAAATCAAAGTCTAGGCGGTCTGCTCGGTGAGAAAGTGGTGTACATGCTTCCGGGATCTTGAGAAATACCGCCTGGAGTGAAATGCACACAAGGACTGGAACCGAGTGAAATCGGTCAACCAGAAAGAGAAGGATCGGATCTACGAGACAATGAAAGGATCCGGATTGGAGGCCCGAGTCGGATCAGCCGATAGAAAGAGAGGAGTCGGGGTAAACGGCAAGTGTGATGAGGCCACACTAACTTTGCCACAAAAGGACACACATTTTACGAGTGGATTGTAAACAAGTGAGAAGTTGTCATAGGGCGGCAGTGGAATTAGAGGCTAAAGAGTAGATAGATGGGCCAGGACACAAAAAGGAGTGGTAGGGTAACCGTTTTTGGCAGAACGTTTGTAGAGGGATTTACTTCACTTGTCTTTTTGACGAGTTCGTAGCTTGGTGCGGAGAATGGCAAAACTCCCTTTTGATGCCAAATACGATGCCGGACAAACGTTTGATAATGTACTAAGTCTGATGCTGGGAATAATGACACCAACTATGGCAGATGACTTCGGACTAGGTGCGTTCTACTAAGTCGCCATGACAACAAGACCAAGCTGCTACAACGAAGTCAACCCACTTCTGTAGAGTAAGGTTGAAGTAGCCAACCAAATCATGGTGTATAAAAAGCGACTAGAGTTGCAGCTGGCCACCTTCTTCTCTTTGTTTTTCTATATTTTTACTCTATTCCATAAAGTATGTAATCTTGCTCAGATGATGTCTGTCACAGCGATACAGACGAAAGCTTAGCACAGTTCCATCGGGGTCGCAGGACGGTGAGCCGATGACGTCTTCGCGCAATTCATTATTCCTTTCTACTCGACAAAGCTCCTTCGATTTCCGGTGAGGCCTTATCCCGAATTGCTTCCAACCAACTTTTCCTTCGAAATGAAGAGTCGTGCCACTAGATTGCACCTTTCTAATATCCCTTCTTGAATGCATTTCCAAGCTGGAACTGCCTACCGAATTGCGTTGAGTCCCTTGAGACGGACCTAACAAGTGAGGATTAAGTGGTTGGCGTTTAGCATCAAGAAGACAGGTTTGATATGCATTTTATGAGGTCATAAAAGTACTGTATTTATATGCAAAGTAACTAAGCGAAGCTAGAAACATAGTGGTAATCCTCCCCTAACGGTGATGGTGATGTAGGACTGATAATGAATTTTCAAACGATCATATGAGCCAGCCTCTTGATGCCTTGCTTCCCGCAAGGTGCCTTCGCCTTGGGCGTACTGCAGTTTTGACCACGCCCCTGGAAAGAGGAATCGAGTGTGAGTAGTGTAGATGATGTGTTTCACTTGTTACCACCATGCCGATGTATTACAGAGAAAACG